ATATATATATATATATATATATATATATATATATATATATATATATATATATATCCTTCACATTAAATTATATATTTTATAAATGTTGAGGGGATAGATTCAAGTTCGTCATTACAGTTCATTTTAAATAATACTGTTAAGGGTAGATTGAATTAATATTAAATTAAGCATTAATTATTATATCATATATTAATATTATTAAGTATTAATTTATATTAAATTAGGTATATTAGATTAAATATATGAGAAATTAAATTATTAAATAGAGTATTGAATTAAGCATTAATTATTACATCATATATTAATATTATTAAGTATTAATTTATATTAAATGAAGTATATTAGATTAAATATATTAAATTAAATTATTAAATAGAGTATCGTAATAATATTAATGTTAAAATATGCGTATCTACGCGTAAGGCGGAAGGGCTGAAGAGGGAGACAGGTCATAAAGATCGTCTATATATACATTTGCTGTGAAATCGCCAAAATGAAGGACGCACGGATCTCGTTGGCCGAAATATGCTACGACGCAATAGCATTGTTTTGCATGATCGAGCCAAGCGCGTAAATGTATGCATTATGTTACTGGAATAGCCGCGAGATTTCGTGAAGCAACGGTCGAGGACAACATTTCATTTGAGGATGATACAAAGTCCGGGACACACACAAAAAAAAAGGATTAGATAAAGCCGGCAGTTCGAGCCTTTCCGAAATACTCAGGTAACCGTCGGTGTAAAGGCCGAGAGGTGGGGAGGGCCGATAAGCGAAAACAAAGAATGGCACGTCCGGAAGGTCCCGACTGTGTCAAAACACCAGTCAGTCGTGCCGGAGTCGTCAACAGGAGTGTATCCACGGTTGTACGTTAACAATACCAGTGTTTTATTTAACGTGTTCGCGCCGGCGTGTACCAACGGTAACCATAGCCTTTCTCATCGGACAATGAGAGCCACCAAATATGCATTTGTTTATTGCTACGGTGTGAGTAATTCATGAGTATTTTGAAAATTTATGTATATGTTTTATATTTAATTATTCTATATTTTATAGAGTTATTATTATTATTATATAGTATAGTATAGTATTATTAGTATAGTATTGTATAGTATATATATACATAGTATATAGTATATATATATATATATATATATATATATATAGATGTGTATAAGAGACAGGTATAGTATTATTAGTATAGTATTGTATCTGTCTCTTATACACATCTAGATGTGTATAAGAGACAGGTATAGTATTATTAGTATAGTATTGTATCTGTCTCTTATACACATCTAGATGTGTATAAGAGACAGGTATAGTATTATTAGTATAGTATTGTATCTGTCTCTTATACACATCTAGATGTGTATAAGAGACAGGTATAGTATTATTAGTATAGTATTGTATCTGTCTCTTATACACATCTAGATGTGTATAAGAGACAGGTATAGTATTATTAGTATAGTATTGTATCTGTCTCTTATACACATCTAGATGTGTATAAGAGACAGGTATAGTATTATTAGTATAGTATTGTATCTGTCTCTTATACACATCTAGATGTGTATAAGAGACAGGTATAGTATTATTAGTATAGTATTGTATCTGTCTCTTATACACATCTAGATGTGTATAAGAGACAGGTATAGTATTATTAGTATAGTATTGTATCTGTCTCTTATACACATCTAGATGTGTATAAGAGACAGTATATACATAGTATAATATTAGTATAGTATTATTATTATATAGGGTTATATTTTATAGCTTTATTAGGGTTATGTTATAATACAATATAAATACCATTATAATTACGAAGTAGTCCAATTTCAGTATAATTGTAAATAAGTTCAATTCCACTATAATTGCAAAGCAGTTGACTCCATTATAATTGCAAAGTAGTTTAATTACATTATAATTACAAAGTACCTCAATTCCATTATAACACCATTATACACCGTAATTCGTAATTCAGATCACCGTTAAACCAAATTACAATTAATAATTCCTAATCGCAATTGCGGTACAATTACCAAGGACTGAGCAATTAAATTACATTAACTGCGGATTACAATGTAATCGAATTCAAACAACGAATTACGACGCAATCGAACTAAAACAACCGATGACGATGTAATTGAGCGGAGATTACGAATTAAAAAATAATTTGAACCGAACATAAAAGTTCGAGATTACAATTCTAATTATCGTGGAAACAAATATATATATGATAATTGTCAAATTATGAAATGAGTCGCTTGGCCGCGGGTCACAGGTCGTGTACGCCCGGTTCTCCGCGATTCTTTCGACGGTCTCTACCCTGAAGAAATTCGCCGATCCCGGGCAAATGACCGCAACGTCGATAATCACGGCGATTCCAGGTTCCTCACGCGGAAAGTCTTAAACATCGTCGCGGTTTCCGTTTGTAGACTGCAGTTTCCTGTATCCGGTCGTTCCACGCGCTTCTGGGACACCGATTGACCCAGTTGTTACGGGAAACGCGGGGGCCAGGGGTCGCGAACGCACCGCGTCGGGTCGTCGACGACCCCGCGGTTCTCCTTCGACGTTTCGCGGATTGCTCGCGCACACAGCGATCTATTTTTTCAATTTAATTTCTTACACGAGGCATCTCGAGTTCTTTGGACATCGTCGGCTAGAAATTGATCGTCGAGATTGTTTTTACTGTAGCCTCGTTAGGTCTTAACAAGTGATCGCGCAGCGCAAGGGAACACAAGGTGAACTTTAAGTTCACATTACAGTCTATGAAATAGACTTTTGTCGGTCAACAGTTGTTTCTTGTTTTTAATAGAATTAAAACGCCACTCAACTGCAAAGGGTTGAAGGATGTCCTTTTACCCCATTGGTAAAAATAGTGTGTTAGAAGTTATTAAAAGGCGTCTTATAATAATATTATAATATGTGTAATACTATAACAATATACGTAATAATACGCAATAATATTATATAATAATATACGTAATAATACAATAATATATATAATAATATAATAATACAGACTGGACTTGGAGGACGCGTTCGACAAAATGGCCCGAGAAACAGCAAATTCCATCCCCGAATCTGCTAATCGACTATCGAGTAATTAAATCTGGCGACTCGTCTCGACGAACGGACTTTGGACCGCAGAATTGTCCGGCTGTTTTCCAAGTACACACTCGACGAAGCCCTCCTTTATTCGCCGATGAATTTAGAAAATCGAAAGCGGAGAGCCGACTTTCGCGGTAGTAATTCGATATGATAGAATTAGGAATAAAGGAAAGCGCATAGGTATTCAGGAGCGTGTAAACTGCAGCGCGGGTGTGTTCGCGTTTGTTCGTTCGTTCATTCGGTTCGTTCGTTCTCGCGGGATAGGTTTTCGCGAATAATTATGCGGTCGATATCTCGGTCAACGTGTTAATTGTCTGATTCCAGAAGGAATGCGGCTCCATTTTGAGCGCGGCTCGCTTGATTGGTCGGAACAAGCGGCAAGTTTCGGCCAATAAAACCCGCGCTAGAAAACGAGTCTCGCCGCGTTACGCCCGATTTGTGTCGCTGCTCGCACTCGTTATCAGGCATTACTTCATATCCTGTGAACTTGCTATCCGGGACGCTTATCAGCCCGCGGTACAATTTATGCGAGAATCCCTTCCATCGCGTTCGCTTAACCGGAACCTTTCGATTCGCGTTGTCAGCGAACAACGTTTCGCCTCGCGGCGAAATCCCATTCTTTCAAGAAGATCGAATCGAGAACCGATCGAACGATTTTTCGGCGGCTATAGATCGTTCCGACGTTTCTTGTGCGACGATTTATTTCACGGCTGCGACGATTAGTGCTGAGAGAAATCACCTTTATCGCTGAGAAATTCTTGCGCGAGACGGAACATTCATATTTATTATATTTATTTTGCGTCCGTTTCGATTGCAATTCGATAAAATATCGATAACAGAAAAATTCGATCTTGTGCAGATTATGTTTGCAGATGTTCGCAGATCATGCTCGTAATCCTCGTGACAGCGAGTCGCGTTGTTATGGTGCAAGGGTCGAGGGTGTTCCTGTGTAAAATTGGCAATTTTAATCTATCGAAAATAATGTAACAGTGTTTTCTTAAATTCTTCCAATTCTGTATTTCTCTGATCAATTTCTGCAACAACGGCGTTAAATCCGCTGCGATTTTGCAAATTGGTTGAAATTTTCCATGTTCTTAATTATGCATCGAATCGAATATAATATTATTAAATTCTCGGTGTTCGTATCTTCGACGTTATTGAGCGACCAATTGATTTTGACGTATAATATATTGGATTTCATATTATGTTTTTAATAAAGGCATTGAAGTAATTAATAATATGATTATGATCGACTGGTATCGACAGTATTTTATTGTACGTGTTTGGCTTAGCTTTTAATTATTCATTCATTTATTTAGCGTCGATGGGACAAACGTCCTTTTAATTTTTCTATAATAATTCAACATAATATAAAAAATAATAGTAATAATAATAGCAGTAATAGTAATAATAATAATAATAGTGGTTATAATAATTTTTATTTGTTTTTGTAGCCCATTAATAAATTATCGTAAAAGAAAGGGGTGTTAAAATTAAAATGAATTTGGCTATATTTTGATAACGCAAGGGTTGTTCGCCCCGCCACGTATAATTGTATGCAGCAGACATCTTTTTCGACAATTATTTTTCGACAAAGCAATACAATATTAAATTTATAATAATAATAATAGTACTAGTATCTATTTGATATTAAATTTATCCGTAACGTTGCCAGAATTCCGCGCGGAGAATCGCCACCCGTCGTCTCCAGGATGATTACGCGTTGATTTAGAGCGATTGTTAGGGATGTTTGGCGGGCCGAGGTTGAACCTAACCCGGCGCATTCGGGACACGGGAAGAAAGAGAGCCCGAGATACAGTAGAAAAGTTACTTCCGGTCTGTTCGGCAGTATCTTCCAGCCAGGATCTCGGCCGTAATCTATCCGACCATCTATTCTCCGGCTATTTTCGTGCGCCCGCGAGCAAATCCGAAGGGCTTTCTCTCCCTTCGAGAGAACTTTAGACGCCGAAAATGATTCTGTGTCGAAAATTCTTCGGTAAACAAGAGACCCGCCGACAACAATCTTTATCGATTCCCGCGATGCAGTAGTTCGTTCTTTAACACCCGAACGGCGGATTTTAAACGAATTTTTAACGAAAGAATAACTCGCTTCGCTCGGGATAATTTCTCGTATTTTACTCTGCGAATTCGATCTTGATAAAACTATCTAAAGTTATTATTTATTTTAAGAATACGGTTTTACTTTGCAAAATGTTATTTTCGAATTCTTTAAAAATTACTATTTACTTCAAGAATACAGTTTCATTTTATAAAATGTTATTTACGAATTTTTTAAAAATTACTATCTATTTTAAATTCGTTCAAGCAACCAATATCATATTTCATAGTATTTAATAATCACATTAGAAGTTTTAATGAAGACGAGACCATAATTTTTTTCAAGATATCGAGTACATAATCGTGCGCTGTTTGCATTCTTGCTTTAGAAAGAGAGAGAGAGAGAGGGAGAGAGAGAGAGAGAGAGAGAGAGAGAGAGAGAGAGAGAGAGAGAGAGAGAGAGAGAGAGAGAGAGAGTGTCTCGCATCGAAAATACTTGAAATCCTGGTCCGGACATTGTCTCGACTTTTCGAGACAAGACAATAGAATATCGAGACAAGACAATAGAATTATCCTCGAGCCCCGCGAAGGGCCCTAATCGGGAATACATATTTGGCGGCACAGTGCTCGTGGGAGCGTTCAACGGGCGACTCGTCTGAAAAGTTTGAACGTCGGATCTCTTGACGCCTTTGTGCTGTTCGTTTTTCTCGTTTCGGCTTCTCCGGGGGAGAGAGTCGGCGTTGCGATAATTAACAGAGAGAGGGTGCTAACTTGAACGGGGGGGTGGCACTCGACTCGCGAACACTTCGGCAGCGGTTCGCCGATAACGTTTTCCTGGATTTCCTGAGGGCGGCTCCGTCTCCGCCGCCCCCTGAATTTCGTTAGCGCACCCCTGCGCGCCCAAACAGAACACACAACCCCTTCAACGCGCACCGAAAGATTACGTTCGATGTCTTTCGATCTCCGAAAGCATTTTCCAACCGGATGAAGCGTGTTCTCCTTCGTTTCGTCGAGCAACCAGAAAGTTCTGTTGCGTTTCGCGATGCGTACAGAAAAGTGCTTGTAACTTTTACTTGAAATTATTCCGTCTGAGAATACGATTATACCTTCGAGAAACTCGGACTACGCGGCTGCACCACCGTTTATTTATTGCTGCCCGGTGTCTGTCGAAATAAACGCGTTACGAGCGATTTTATTAAATATTTTATTTTTAACGTATTTAATCGAATATTTAATTTTGGGATATTGTATGTAATACAATATTATTTTATAATTTCCATTCGAATTAAGAATTATTCGGATAAGTAGACAGAATAAAGAATTATTCGAATAAATAGATGGAATAAAATTAATTATTGGAATAAATAGATACAATCAAATTAATTATTCGAATAAACAGATGCAATAAAATTAATTATTCGAACAAATAGATAAATACTAATAAATAGACAAATACCGAATAATCGTAATTTGAATAGAAAGCTCGCCCAAAAATTATTCCTTCGGATAATTATCCTAGATAAACATTTGTTCGAAATAATCCAAACAATGCCCAACTCTATCGACGCGAAATAATTTGCTTTTGCGCAACGATCCACGATCTACCGATCAAAGACAAGACGAGTCCGTGATCCGACAGCAATAAAACATGAAAAAAAGGAACGCGGAACGAAGTTAATTATAGTTCTTGATTCTCAACGAAAGAATTTCTCGGACGAACGAAGGGCGAACGTCTCTCTGGGGCGCTTCGTAAAAACTGTCTCGCGCGGAAACGAGCCACTGAAAATCCACGAGGAAAAGATTGGGAGGGAAAGCTCGGTGATCGGAGTGCAATCGAGCTTGTTCAGCAAACATTTTCCCGTGCCGTTTGCTTTTCACGGCAAAAGTTACGCCGCGTCGCGTGCATCTCCTTTCAGGTCCCCGTTACTTCGATGGTTTCCAAGCCCCTCTTTTCTCCTCGTCGTCGTCGTTGGATTTTCGCGTTTTATGACGCTGTCAGAGAGAGAAAGAGAGAGAGAGGCCCGTGGAAATCCTCCGAAGCGAAGCGGAGCGATAAAAGGGAAACCGTTCGACGGAAAAATCCATTTACGCGATCATCGCCGGTGTCGAATTCTGTCCGATGGACACGTTTCACACCGTGACTCCTGTGTAGCGGAGGTTCCACGCGAGGCGACCCTAATTCCTTGACTGCCTTGACATAGTTTCCCTTCTTTTTGCATTTGAAAATCATTTGCCGGCGTGTTTCGCGCGGAAAATAGCCTCTGTCGAAAGGAATCAAGAGCGAGAGTGCTTCTGCTTCGAATCGTTTTACCGCTTTGCAAACCGAAATTTGGCTCAACAATTCGGTTACATAAACCTAAATAATTAGGTTATATAAACATCTAAATAATAACGCGGCAATTTCTAGCGGTGCCTCAGAGTCAAAGGGTTCATTCGGGTGCAAAGCGTCCAAACGTTTAAACACAAAGTCGATCGGTTTATCGTTAAGTTTATTGTTAAACGAAGGTGACGGTAACCATTGATTTACCATTGGTTAAACGAGGGTACCAATAACGTTAAAAATGACTTCAAAAATTATATTAAAAATTACTTTAAAAATTGCTTTAAAAATTACATTAAAAATAATAAAGGATAACATCAATATAATCGAATGATAATCGTAAGAACAAGTCTAACCGGACCCAACGAAACAGAATTCGAGAAAGGATCCGTCCGTGCATGGCAGACCTTTTCTACTTGCGGCGGATCCGCTCGCGTGCTCTGGACCATTTCGCAATCGCGCAGAAATTCCGCCCCGCGGAACGGCCGATACGCGATCGTTTCCGTAAATTACGGTAGCGAAGGATGTCGCGGAACAAGACGGGGAAGGAACAGGGCCGCGGAGACACTCCAGGATGCAATTGGCTGCACTGTAGGAGTCCCGCGCTCTTATCCTCGAAAACAGAATTAATTCGAGTCGTTCTCTCGCGTGTGCGCGAACGAACGGGGGACGGGGGAAAACGGGGGGAGCGTGCTCGAACTTCTAACGAAGCTGAATTAATGACGGAACTATCGGCTTTTCGCGACGTCGACGACGTATCCTTTCACGGGACAGAGGCGAACTTTTACGGGCGGTGTCGATCCGCGCGTCTCGCGCCTTGTTGCGCCCTTACCGGAAAACGGGGAACGGTCGTTTCGCAAGGAACACTCGAACGCGTTGGGTGGCTGGATGTTCATAGAATCGATCCGTTCGTAAAAATTCAGCGGATAGTATTGGGCGACGTTGTCTGTTGAGCTCAGGATGTCCGTAAACGTCGTCTAGAAGTCGTCGTTAAGGCGTCTTATGGACATCTAGAACGTTGTTTAGAAGACGTCTCTAAACGTGAACTATTAAGACGTCTTATAGACTTCTAGGGTGTCTTATGGACGTCTTATAGACATCTAGGGTGTCTTATGGACGTCTTAGAGACATCTAGGATGCCTTATGGACGTCTTATGGACATCTAGGGTGTCTTCTGAACATCTTGTAGACATCTATGATGTCTTCTGAACATCTTGTAGACATCTAGGATGTCTTCTGAACATCTTCTAGACATCTAGGATGTCTTCTGAACATCTTCTAGACATCTAGGATGTCTCCTGGACATCGTCTCGGAGACGTCTTTAAACGTCGTCTATAAGACATACTAGATGTCCATAAGACGTCCTCGACGACGTTCAGAGACGTCTTCTCGACGACATTTAGAGACGTCTTCTCGTCGATATTTACAGACGTGTTCTAGACGTCATTCAAAGACGTCTTAAAAACGTAAATTCTCAACGTCGAAACGACACCCACGAGACGTTAAACGAGAGTTAAAAGATTGAATTTTCACCAGAAATCGTCGTTCGCCAGATAAAATTTCAACCGAAAATAAATAATAAATTGCAATCCATGATAGCGTCGAGAAAAGTTAGACAACGAGGAAACTCCGAAGAACAATTGGTCTCTCTCTCTCTCTCTCTCTCTCTCTCTCTCTCCCTCTCTCTCCACTTCAACGTCGCAGTTCTTTGAGAATGTCGCGCAGTTCTCCCAGCGTTCGCGGAGGCGCGCATCTGCGAAAATCGTCGGCCCTGACCGTCGGCGAAATTGAATTCGGCGGAGAATTAATCCGCGGTATCGGTGGTTGTGTGCCGCGGCCGGTTCCGAGAGCGGCGACAATTAAAAAT